AAGGATGGTTTCAGAATCAAGTCTTCTCTAACCTTAATGTCATTGGACCTCTTTTCCCATAATACTGAAAGCTATCCTGGAGTCTGCAGCCTTCCAACATGGGCAGGATGCAATTTAGCACCCTCTTTCAAATGTTAATAGTGGACAAATGGATGGCCTTCTCTTGCTGCCAACAGTTTGATTCCTGCATTTGTTCTATTTTATATTTTGCTTCTGCTCCAAGAAGCTAAAAGTATAAATGGACTTTACCTCCCTAACTTTATCCTCATCAAAAGCCTATGAGGCATATTAGGATAAAGGTGTGGCTACAACATGATATAATCAGTTTCATGGCCAAACAAACATGGTGAACTTTTGCTTTCTGTTCCTAGTTCAGCTTTCTTCCCACTAGTCTTCATTAATTCTTCCTTGAAAGCATCAGTATTGCAAATGGAAGACTTTTCGTGAACCCTTCTCTCCCACACTGGCGGTGTTTTTAATGTGTGCATAGATAATGCTAAATATGTAAGTAGGACACTTTTGAAAGATCATGCAGAAGAGAGATTAGTTCTATCTGGAGTTAGAACATTATTTCTTGATCATCATTGCTTCATAACAATGCTTGAGAACTGTGTTTGTCCTTCAAGGTGTTCCTTCATTCAGTCATTTCTATCAAATATTTTTTTCATTAAAAGGGTCCAGTGGTGCATTTCTGAAATCCTGCCCTTGACCTTGCAATTATTCAGTGGCTTCTTTCCTCCATTTCTTTTCAGGCCTTCCAAGTCTTACTATATAAATCTATCAAACAGAAAAATACCCTCCTACTGGGATCAGAGAAGAGAGCAGCTCTGCAGGGACTGAAGGATTTTCTCTTTTTCTTTTTTTGGTCTGATTGCTAATGATTAAGTACAGGAAAAAAGGAGGCTAGAAATTGCTTTTCTTCTGGCCTGGCCCATCACATGATTTCAGTTTAAGCAGATGTATGATTGGATTAAGAGATATATTAAGTACCACAATTGTGCTGAAGAAAAAAGAAAAAACCCCTCTATGTTCAAAATCTGAGAAGATATCTCAGAGCTCCTAGTTTGAGTTCTCCACAATTCTTGGCATTTGTTTTTCCCTTTCGCAGTATTAGAATGATTTATTCAAACTGTATTGTACTATGTTCACATTAGAGCCAAAATGAAATTGCCATCCCAGGGTTAATCATGGAAAACCCCCAGAGTCAAATAACAGTCAAATAATGCAAATGTAGTAGGGGTTTATTTGATGTGCAATAGTTGCTGTACAATGTTAGCTTTCAATATTTCACGGTTTATAGTTGGTCACTAGCATATGAGGTCAATATTAGATATTCAGTCTTTGAAATTTGCAATATGATATTCCCATTTTAAACTTAGTGTGTAGGCATAATGAATACACATAAGGTACATCTGCTAGGATCCTTACAAAATGTAAAGGCATTAGAGATGCTGTATCTTCATGGCTGAATTACGAATCAGGAAACTGCTTCGAAACCTACCTCTTAGAAACTCAATAGATGATCTTAGGCAAGCTACTCTCTCTCTGTATTTATCTGCTCTTCCCCAGCAGCAGTGCTGGGACAAGCTCTGCCTTACAGAGCTGTTTACAACATATACTTCTATTATTAAAAAAGGTAACTGCTATTATTCATTTTTTAGAATCCTCAACCCTCAGATTGCAGATCTTAATGAAAACTGTCCTGCCATCCCCATCGATTCAAATTCTCATTGTCAACAGAAAAGGATCAACTCTTGAAGAAGTAGCATAAAATGTTAGCAATTGGGACCTGCTACAAAATGTTGCTGTGACCACTGCTCCTAGTCAGTATTCCACCCAGAATATTCCATTCCATTCCATCCCATACTCCACTTCTGGTTTTCCAATCTTCTATATCTGTGGGATTTCTATGTTAACTGAGCATACTCAGTCTTCATTTCACTGGGTTTTTTTTTCTTGTACTTTTTATACTTCTGCAATACTAGAGTATTCCCAGAGCTGGCTGATATCCCCTCTTCTTCATGAACATGACACTTAGTTCTATTAAGGTCCATAATTAGACAATGAGTTCACCATGAACATACAGACTGAAAGCAGCAACAGATTCCTCTCTATTTACTCTGTGGGGTTATGTTATTAATTGCACTGGGGATCAAAATAGCTCTTCCCAGATCTAGAGAATGGGGAAAATATACATGTTAGTATATGCATGCCTAAGGGCGAATGCATATATAAACACATGTGTGCACTCACGTATTTCTCTTCTCCAGCCACAAAATCGCACGCCTCCTTCAAACTCTAAAAATGAGAGGAAAACAGCTGCCAAGGAAAGGGAAAGGGCTTCAGAGAGAAAATTATGCCAACAATCAAGACCTTTTCATGCTGTGGCAGAACATCACAGCTTCCACAGACTCACTTTAGAGCTTTATTATTATATTTGTGTCCACCCTGCAATTTATACTGCCTACAAAGTCAGTCCACGCCACGTCCGGAAGCTTTCCAAGGTTGTGTACTGATACATTTCCCTTGGGGATTAACATAGCTCCACATTCTGCTGATCTCACCTTATTAATACATATATGAACTCTTGAGGTAGCCTTCTATAACTGAATTTGAATTGAACTGAAAGAGGAGAAGTGGTGCTACAGGACATTTGACTGGGCAGAATCTCAAGGATGGTTATTTTCTCTTTCTTCTCCTTTTCCCCCTCTGTCTTTTTCCTGTGTCTTTTAAGAGCTTCTATTTGAACCTGGTGTCCTCCAGTTGTGTCAGACTTCAACTCCCATAATTACATAAGCTTGTTGGCAAAGTTATGGAAGCCTAATACTTTGGAAGGCTATCAGGTTGGGGAAGGGTGGCCTATTCTATTAGCCACTGCTATTTTCTTCCCCTGTTTCTCTTTCTTTTGCTGTGTTAGAGATCATACCTTCACATTTATTAATTTCACCAACACCTTCCCATCATCTTGTATTTGCAGTGCAGTTATTAATGATATAAGCACATTTCGAAAACAGCAAATTAATCTTCTCTTTAGCCAAGCTGTGAGTTTGGAATGGAAGTTAGAAAGGGACACTAAAAGTTATTAATTTGCACCAGGCTACATCAAGCCCATTCTTCCCTCTTTCTTGTCAGCTATGACAGTAAGAGTTGCAGCGAACCAGGTTTATTCCTCTTTCTTTTTCCAGACATCTGGCCACATCAACAATTTCTCTGAAAAAGAGAGAGAAAGTGGGTTATGAAGAGAGTTAGTGTTGCCAAGGACACCTTCTAAAAATAAAGGTCAACCAGGAAGGTGATCACCAGGCATTATGGGGAGTTGGAGCATTTTCATTGTATTGGCAATTGGTTTAAATGACAGGTTAATTGCTCCATTAATAAAAACTGGTTCTAAAATCGGCAGTTCCAGCTATATGTGATACACAATGGATTATATGCACTACACAATAGACAGATAGAGATATCTACATACACCAGTGGATTTTAAAATTGGAATAAGTTCTTTTTTAAAAAAAGAAAGGTAGATGGCAATTCTTTTTAAAAAAATGTTCCTCTAGTGAGGATAGTTACAAAAAATAACAGATAATCATGATAATGTGTCAAATTACTGCTATACTGCTGAATTTTGGAATTCAAAGCTACGGGTACAGATCAACAGCTAGGCTCACCATTCCAAGTCTGTACATCTGGATGCATGCTTATATGTCAATCAACTTGTTTTAAGCATTATACCAATTTCATATGCATTCTTGCTCTGTACACACATCCAACAAAATTTGAGTTAAGTCAAGCATTCAAAAGGACTTTTTGACTTGTTTGTTTTATTTTCTGTGATGAAAATAATTGAATAAGGTCCCTGGGATGGTATAGGATTCTTTGGATTTCCTACTTTGAGGTTGACAGGAAGGCTCTAGCCTCTGAAGGAGAAGTCTGATATGATAAACCTTCCTATTCATTCCAGTTACCGGGGTTAGATCTTGCTGATGCCAGAAAAAACTGAGTTTGAAAAGGCTGAACAGGAGACAAACTAAGAGGGGTTGTAGATCAACTGAACCTAAGTTCTCTTATTCCCCTGACCGATCCATAAACAAGATATGTCAGTCCTGGGGCTGACACAGACACACACACTCCTATTGCTTGCAGTGAAAAGGAGTAAAAAGCAACCTGATTGGATGAAAAAGTGCATGTGTTGTTTTTGTCAGGTCTGTCTTACAGCTACAAACCAACAAGGTCTGCAGATTGTGTAGCTCTAATGTCAACGTGCTGTGTATCTGAATCTACAACTGCCCAGTCAATGTTTAAATTATACCAATATTTATTCATACTTTCAGCGTAGTCCCTGGGGAACATTTATGCAGAAGTAATTCCCATTCTGTTCAATAGATCTTATTCCCTAGTAAGTGAATTTGGAAATGTAACCCAATATGTATGCATATTTTATACATTGATTACACCCCCCCACACACAGCCACTCACATATTGTAAGGGTTCATTCATCCTACCAGGCCTGTCCCACCCAAGCAGGGATTGCTTTTACTGGTACTTGTTTTCATTATCTTCTTTTCTTCTCTTTAAACATGGAGGTAGGTGCAAGACTAAAATAAGGGAAATGTCTTCCCCTTTCTGCAAACCAAACAAAACACAAAGGCAGTTTACATCCAGCAATTAACAGTCAACCACTGGAGGCCTAGGCTTGCCCCTCTGAGCTGTGTGATGTTAACCACTGCCCCCCCCCATACAAACTAGCACAAACAATGTCTGTTCAATCTATTTAATTTTAAACCTATTAAGACACACAACAGCAAGAAAAACATGGACGGGTGTTGGCTTAGAGAAAGATTAGTATTAGATTCAAAGAATAAGTGTAGACAAAGGAACAGTAGATAAGCTCATCAAAAATGGAAATCAAACCTTGGGGGAAAGACTTCTGAAAGAACTTTGAGCACTTGCAAAATAAAACAAAATTGCTAACCTATTTTGCTTATGTGTTGTGTTGCTTCTAGTCTGGATACAAGGGATTTTCCTTCCTGATATCTTGGAAGATTCATAGTACCCAACCTGGAACAGGTTTTCACTTTCACCTCCCCAGAGGTATGTTGCTCTTTCCCCAAGAAGATTTAAAAGAAGAAGAAGAGGCATCCAGCAAACTCCTTTGATATTTAATCTCAAGGAAAGATATTTGTCTGACTTTAGGCAGAGAGGAACATTCCTCCAACTGTGAGTTTGTTGCTGATCCAGTGGGAACCTCTATGCTTATATTTCTTGGGGTGTCCTTTGTATGTACACAGTCTGAGGAAATGTCACCAGCTGAAGGAGACCTGAAAATGAATGTGTTAGGTGGCAATTTGAATTTGGGGCAGAAAAGAACTATAGAAATGATTTCATGTGGATCATGTAGTAATCCCTATACATGTAGCTGACTTTGTTGGTGTAAATGTCATGCAAGTTATATTTGTGGAAACAACAAGTATGTAAATTGGACATAAAATATGTTGCTTAATTTCTGGTGTTTCTAATGAATGCTTTTGCCTCCATTATCCAAATAGCAGAGCTAATGAAAAGAAGAACAGTGGGGAAATAATCTTATCTGATTATATCTCATTGTCAGAGAAGATTACATTTGCTAATCAGCTCTCCAGCACCTAGTATTGGATCTGATGCCTTTCACCTGCTTATTTCCTGGAAATGCAGCAAATATGTACCTTTCGTTTTGCAGGATGGGGTTGGCTGGTTGATGTGATGTACTTGAAATGTAAGCAAGGAGTGCTATCCCAAAGCTGTAGTTTTATCCTTAATGGAGTAATTTGCAAGAAGACTTGAAATGGATGAGTAACAGGAATATTTCTGGTAAGAGAAGCAGAAAGGAGAGGTTAGCTATTTGGCCAGTTCAAAAAGCTCAAAGAAGGATTGTTGAACTGGCCAACTTGTTAATCAACTAATGCTCCTCCTACCCGTGAGATAGAAAGAGAAAGCCAAAGAGGGTATCTGGAGAAAGGAAAGGGAGAGAAAATTAAACTCGTCTTCAATTTCTCTTTCTCAGCAAGAAGATATTGCAGCAAAACACACACTGGTGATTCACTGGATCCAGGGCAGTGATTAAGCCTCCAGCTTTCAGGCTGCAATAGAGTTTGGGGTTTGTTGACTGTTTTGCCCCTTGCTCTTTTCTACTGCTGATCCTGATGTAAAACTGGTTCAGGTCTTCCCCAACTGCAGTGTTCCCCCAATTTGCTTCTTTCACCATGTTTGTCAGAAAAGTGGGTGTTTTTGAGATTACATTTGTCCTTAAAGAGACATATATGATCTCCTTTGGAAAAAGAGAACTTTACAGAAGTAAGATCTCTTCTGCAGCAGGCTATGTACATTGGAGAACCTTTCCAGAGAAATCAAAAGCCCTGTGTCCTATTATCTCTTGAGTGTCTATATAAGAAATGTCTGGTGATGGGAGTCAGGGAAGAGTCCAAAGGTAGATCAAGATGTACTGGCAATTTCTGTAGAGATTGGTAAGGGTTGCAATTCCTTAAAAAAAAAAAAACAGTAGGAAAAGAATAAATGTTTCCCTTTTTCCCAAAGCTGCTTTTCTATATGCAGCCTCCAACCATTATCAGATTTTCTGGTCTAGTTTGCCATTATGTAAATCCCAAGCTATTCTGAATCTTAAGGTTAAAAACAGCATCTTGAATTGTGCCAGGAATAAAACCCAAATTGAGCAGAAGCAATAGAGCAGTAGGGGTAATATTAAATTGCTGCTAGGAGGGAGATCATCACCAACGCTGGAATTATTTCCAAAGTCAGATCTATTAAGAGCGACTCACTACAACCAAACATATTCTTTGGGTTACAAAGGCATGAATGATGGAAAAATGACTAAAGCTGTTTTAACAGGTGGATTTGTCTGTTAAGCATTGCTAGTTGCTACCACTGGGTGAAATACCAGGCACAGAGGTCTTTAAAAGCATCCCCAAACTGTGGTTAGATAATTTTGAAAACTTGGATTTAGTCGTCTTTTGGGTGGTCAGCTCTGAAAGATTGAATTAATATTTCTCTCCTCTCTGGTCTTCCCATTGCCAGTCCATGATTTACGACTGCCTCGACATCCTTGATGTTAGAACAAAATACACACACTAAACCCCTATTAATTCAAGAAAGAAGGAAAGAAAATCCTGTAATGATATGCTGCTTCAAATCTGCTTAAATCGCAGCGCCATTATCAGTACAGCAACGTAGCTGAGTTTGCTTTTGCAGTCCTGATGCTAAAGGCATTCACAGGAGAATAAGCAATATTTTTAAAGCAAAAATAATAACACGAGCACCTATAGCTATGTGATTATTTTCCTGGTCACCCCTGGCTATATATAAAGCCCTGCTGAAAAACACAGCCCCTCTGTTCACATAACTTGCACTGCCCATAACAACTATATGAACAGGATGACCTGATTTGCAGATGTTAAGACAACAGGTGGATTCATACAACACATTAAATCCATATTCATTCTTTTCCATCTGTTTTTATCGTTATCTACATCAGCCTATGTGACCCCATTCAGACCACAATAATAATCAAATGCTCAGCAAGTTAGAAACATCAGAAGCAAAGCCTATGTTACTTCACATCTTCTCCCTGGATCAATGACATAATAGGAACACTGGAGAAAGGATGAGGCAAATGCAATCAAACCCCCAAGAACAGGATGGAGGAGAAGATGAGCAGCCTATTCTCCAGGCTGCCTGGGCTGGAGCCTTCTTAGTAGGAAGGATAGAATCCCTCAGTACAATTCCTGTGCCCACCCATCAGTTGAATCAGCCAGCTCTGCTTGTTTTAAACCATATACTTCAATGAGTAGAATGATAACCAAAGCTTTAATCAAAAAATAAAAAATTGCCTCCCAATTAATTGCCGAGGCTGGGATTGAAGCACACAGCTGCACCGAGATGCCAGCCTGATCTTCCCTGTGTCAGCTTAGCTGAAAAAAACAGGCTAATTATTGTTTCTTTTCCTACTCTGTATTAAAAGCTAGCAGGAGTTTTGCACATGGAGGTGAACCATCATGATTTCCTTTCTGGCAAGAAGCAGAGTGGTCAGTCCCAATGATAGGACTCAGTCACAGCTGGTGTCAAGCCATCTCTGAGCCAATCCTAATAGGATCTAAAGCTGTTTTAAATTATTTAAAGTTTCAATAGAACAAAAATATAATATTCCATATTTTGCATTTTGAAAGGGCTGTGAATTTTTGGAAGTGATAATATTGCTACCTGGCACAAGTCAACAGAGAAGAGTTTTTATGTGAAGTTTATTAAGGGTGTATACTAAGAGACAGGAACAAGTGGGGGTTGAGGGTGGGGACACTGTTCTCTGTTACAATGGTTGAGCAGCCTAAGGGGTTATTTTGCTTTTTGCAATCAGCCCTTCTGACAGTGCAGTCCACCACATGTCTGTTCAGAAGACAGCTCTACTGAGTTCCCTGAATCCAAGTATCACAGTCAAATGTTTGCAACAAGTACCAGTAACAAGCATCTCTTTTAGATGACGTGTGTGCCTCACCAGCAGCAGTTGGGTAATGAGCTTGGTTGCATGCTCCTTGAGGAAGCACTTCCCTTTCCCAAAAGCAGGAATGTCACTGACCACATGCATCTCTCCCCCTGGCAGGCAGCTACCCACCCATTCAGTTCTTCAAGGAAGCAGCAGGAGGGAGCCAGTGGTTGTTTGAATAGGATTTGAGGGATACTCTATTAATTGGCAATTGGGAACATTTTCCTTTAACATTCTAGGAGCAGATTGATTTAGCTGCTTGTTTATTCCCATACTCAGACCCTGTTGAAGTATGTGGTGTAGACTCCAAAGGAAAGAAGTGCGGGCAGACTTCCCAAAACATTGGTGAGATGAAGAGGACACTCCTTTCTCGGCCAGTTGCTGAGGAGATGGAATGCTAGCTCTCTTTGGGTTCCAGGGACAACCTTGCATCTAGGGTCTGAAGGCTTAGGGCGCCCTATGACTGCCAAGGAACACTTAGGCCTTGTTTTAACATACAGGGAGTGAAATGCTCCCAAGCAAGCTATGGATACATTTGTGTTGGAAGCCAAGGAGAAGCCACCCATCACCATCTGACACTAGGAAGCAACCTGCCCAGCTATCTCCGGAAAAGTCCCATAGAGAGATCTAATAGTTGGTTCCCCTTGTTTATGTGAGAAAATAAAGTTGTGTTTCCTTAATCCAAGACACATCTCATGTCTTCCTTATGGTTTGGGGAAAATCTCCCTTCATATGCACATGGGAGGAATGCCTTTTCTCAGGCAGTCTAGTTTATTTGTGCCTCACCTAAAATCATGCCTTTTGCCTTTAGAGTACTGAGTTAAATCCTGGCTCATTAGTGATTTATATTGATTTATTGCCCAACCAAAGCAGTGGCAATGTAAATCTTGTCTTCATTAGTGATCTATCATCACAGTGATAGCTGGGGGATGTTGTAAGATGTTATAAATCATTAGTAAAAACAAAAAACAAAAAAAAACTTTTAATCATATTTCAACAGTGGGAATCATCTTTATGTGGTATTAAGTGAGATCCAATTTGTCATTTTTACTCACATGCAGGTTCATGCACATTTATTCAATAAGTGAATGAACAAAAAAACAGGTATTTTCAAAAATAATTTTTTATATCTTCTCTTTTTAGCCTCACAAGTTTAAATTAAGAGGAACTGGCTGGCAACTCAGTGAACTTCATGGGGCTTATTCACACAACATTTAACTGGGTCACATAAAGATCAAGGATTGGCACAGTGTGCTAAATTTGCTTAGTGTAGCGTTAATCTTGGTTATGATTTCTGTGTCTTAGCATGTTGTAGAAGCCATTCATTTGGCTAGTTTAAGGTCAGGGTTACATGTATTGTTTGATTCTGGTTTCATGTTGCTGTTTTGGTGGCCTTCTCTTTTCTCCTCTCTTCCTTCTCATGGCACCATTTGCTAACCATAGGACACTTAACTTTCTTACATGATTGCCAACAAAGACACAATGATAGTTATCTTGATCTGACCTAAGTATAAGATCAGACTGTGCAGGAAACTGCTTTAATGTTTTCCCAAATCAACTGCCATCTGGACTACCTGGGGCCCGCTTAAGTGAATAAAGAGTGTATCCTTTGCCATAAATAGCAAAGTCTTTGAAAAGGCTGAAGCTACATGATTCAATCTTTTCCCTACCAGCCCTGCTTCAAAAGTTATCTTGAAAAGAGCTGCAGGAAGAATGTTGTTGCATCTGATGTTTTATGTTAGCTCTCTCTTTTTTCCCCCCCTTTTGTGTGCAAAATGGTTCTTCTAAGTGCCTTCACAGCAGCCCTGATCCATTCAAAATAGCAACTTGTGTTTCTAGTACAGATTGCCGCAGTTCTTTTGTTTATCATCCAAAAACATTGTCATGATGGAATCAAAAGGTGACAATGACTAACTTGTAAGTCTGACCTTCCCTAGGCACTGTTA